GCCGTTGTCGCGGGACTTCCCCGGCGCGGCCCCCGCCGCGAGCTCAGGTCCCCGGCCGTGGTTGCCATAGGGACACCGACCACGCGCGCTCCTCTTTCCGCCCAAGTGCGCCTGCGTTCTTCCCTAGTCCCGCGCAGCGCCCCGGGTAAGGAACGAGCCCCTGGGCCCTGCTAGGGAAGGAGCTGAGCGAGCCTGCCCTCTCCCGCCTTACTCCGAGCGCCGGTATAGCGACGCAAGCAGCCCCCTCTCAAAATGCAGAAAGCGCTACCGAAAGCAGAATTGGAGGGGCGCTGCTTGAGTCGCTACGGCATTATTTTCTGGTGCGGAGCATGAAATGCATTGGCCTGGGGGATCCCTGAGACTGGCCGTGACTCTGGGGAGTCCCCCAGTGAATGCATTGAACTGGGGTGCTCTGCAATGTAGGGATGGTAAGTAGCAGTTAATAACCTAATCCATAAGGGGGTTAGCAGTCGGGCTGGCTCTTACTACATTTAAAAGGCAAGAGCTGCAGCGGGGTATCAGGCATTAGCTGGGTGCACCAGGTTCCCCTCTACATCTTTGTCTCCCCTGATGGTGAGGATGGTGATGAGGGGAGCTGACTTTTGGGAGTTGCTGATACAGAGGCAGCAAGGGGGGGAGTAGTTGAGCAGTCACTTGACTATCTGATAAGCATAGGCTTATTTGGTAGTCTACTACTCCACTAGTTGCTTACCTCTCTACTGCAATGCTGTGTGGGGGTTCCTCCCCCATGAACATATGGGAGCAGGCTCCCCTCCTCCAGCCATGAAAATACTTCTCCCTACAGATGGGTTCACAAACTTGTGATTCCCTCCACAGAAGGATGTTTGGGAACACTCTGCAAAGCCATGAACTATCCTTACTCTCCTTCTCACACAAACCTTGAAATGGGTGTGTCACCCCCTGAGCGGGCACTGGGTACCTGGTGCTCAGAGTGTCTCTTTTTCCTTACATGTAGTGAAGGAATTGTTGACAGTGCCAGCCTCCCCCTTGGCTAAAATTGCACCCTGCAGAATTGCACTTTATTACTACAGTCTTGCTTGATGTGTCCAGCTTGCTGGATCAGTAACCTACTACTAGGACTTTTCACTCTCAAGGGATGTTCTCTGACATTGTGGAGCCAAACCCTTTTGAAACCGTGTGGGTTAGGAAACTAAGGCCTATAGACCGCATGTACCCATGGGACCTTTTCATCCAGCCCTCAAGCTCTTGCCAGGGAGTACAGTCAGAGTCTTTCCCCTCTCCATCCTCTGCTCTAGCCAGGGAGAGTATGTCTACACTACCCCCCTAGTTCGAACTAGGGGGGTAGTGTAGATATACCCGGAGTGCAGTTGAGGACTTGCCCACTCCCCAATTGGAGCTCCAGGCAGAGAGTCTGAGTTGGTGGTAGTTCAGGGATGTCCATTTTTCTGGGGCTCCCCAATTGGCTGAGACCCCTGGGCACAGCCCTTTAGCCCAGTGGCTAATATGCCACCATGGGGAGGAGGTCAGGTCACTCCCACTCTGCTCATGTCCCCCCTGAATGATTGCCAAAACCACCTTACCAAACTTTTGGCTACCACTAGTAGGATCTGAAGGAATGGGTCCAAAACAATAATTCTTTCCACAGAATTAGTTTCCTAGGACAGCCAACCAGTAGCAAGGTCTTGTAATCACTGAGCCATCTTCTGCGCTCACCTTCACCAGCCTGTGTTCACTATCCCATGTAGGCTATTGGTCTGTCACCCCCAACTGGAAAGGACTAATGCATACCACACCCAAAACTCTTTCAAGCCTCCAACTGATCATAGCCCTTTATTGGGAGCACCCGACTCTCTGCACTGTCTGATCATTGAACAGAGAAGTTCCCAGGCCTCTGGACACCCTTAAAGTGGCAGACCACTCTATTGTTTCAGAAGAAAGTTCAAGAAACCCTGCAGCAGGCCGATTAGGGATAATTTGCTCCCTAGCAATTTTCCTTTTAGCCCCTAATAGTCAGAGATTGGTTTAAATCTAATAGCATGAGAATTTCTGTGCCTTACAAAACTTTTTTTTAAGTATTTACTATTATTATTCTGGATATTCTTGTCATCCATATAGATGTCCAATCTATTTTTATGACTTTTGCTAATTTCTTGGTTTCAAGGGCATCCTGTGACAATGAATTTTACAGTCTATTTTATGGTTTGTGTAAAAAAAGAATTTTCCTATATCAGCTTTGAATTTGCTGCCTTTCAACTTCTTTGGTTGTTTACTTGTTCTTGTTTTATGAGATGGGCAAGAGATTCCTAATCCAATTTCCCTTTATCACTTGTTATACATATGAGATTTTGCACATCTGTCTGTCTGTGAGTCCATCCATTCGTTTGAGTCGGTTTGTTCCAGAACTCCTCCTCAACTGTAAGAGGTATGACTATTAATTTGATATGCAGCTTCCTCTTATCCTAACTTAAACCAAGGTCAGGGTTTGGTTGTGCTAGGAAAATGGGAAGTGCCTGGAATGGGATTGTTTTCCATAACATGGAAAGGAAGGGATCTGATAGGAGGGACAGTTATGCTCCACAATGACCATTGGGGACAGCGAGCACAGGGGACGACTATACTGCAGAGTGACCAAAGGGGGGTGGCTGCACCAGGAAGAGAGTGGCCAGCTGCAGTTCTCCATATTGCCAACCCTGGGTGATTGGCTCCTTTATTCCATACCCGTCCACCCCCCGTCCTCCCACAGCCCTCACCTACAGTGCTGGTTGGAAGGGGGAGTTTCACA